TCTATAACTAGGGCTATTTTATGCCAATTGTGTGAGTACATTGTCACACCATGCCAAAACCCCTTTATATTTTTATATGGGATTTTTTCTTATCTATACCATATATGAAACCTTATTACCAAAAATGTGCATAATTCCTAAATTACCCGTCCAGTCCACATTATTTCTACAGTTTTTGTACCAATCATTAAAAGCTAATTAATAGCAGTTGTATCTTCCTATTTATGCGAGCTAAATTTTAGGAGAAGAATATTCTGAACAGCTTTGGCGTGAATATTCTGAACAGATTTAGGAGAAGAATATTGAAACGGAAAGGAGATTTCTGTTCTTCATCTTCATCTTCATCTGTTCTTCCATATATTTTCCACCATTGATAGCCATTAAAAAGCTTGAAAGCTTTGAATTCAAATTTGGGTTTTCAAAAATCATTATTTGTTTGGATTGGGTGTTGTTGTAAATAATTCGGAATATGTTTAGGAGTTTATATCTCAATTTTGAGGGGTTTTGGTGAAGATTAGACTTGGTTTTGACTGAATTTCAGATTGAAACTCGAAGAAGAAGAAGAAGAAGAAGAAGAAGAAGAAGAAGAAGAAGAAGAAGAAGAAGACGACATATTTCCAGAAATTGTAGATAAATTGTAGTTAAGTTGTAGAATTATAGATAAATTGTAGATTGGGAAGACTAAAACTTCTACAAATCTTCTACAATTATGTCAAAAATGCCAATTATGCTACAATTGAAATGGGAATTGGGATATTAAAATTCAATGTATCCATTTTGTAGATATCTTGTAGATAAATTGTAGATTATTTGTATTCTGATTGTAGATGCATTGTTTTCTGTTTTCACAAATCCAAAACGACTAAAGCTTCTACAAAATCTTCTACAATTATGTCAAAAATGCCAATTATGCTACAATTGAAATGGGAATTGGGATATTAAAATTCAATGTATCCATTTTGTAGATATCTTGTAGATAAATTGTAGATTATTTGTATTCTGATTGTAGATGCATTGTTTTCTGTTTTCACAAATCCAAAACGACTAAAGCTTCTACAAAATCTTCTGGAAAAAACAGTCTACAATTTATCTACAATTTTTTTAATTTTTCTACAATTTATCTACAATTTCTGGAAATATGTCTTCTTCTTCTTCGAGTTTCAATCGACTGTGTTAACCAGTAACCTTCAGCCACTGCCCAAAAAAAAATCAAAAAAAGAGGTCAATGAAAATAACGATATATTGATGTTTTGTATGTGTAAATAAAGAATTGGTAAATAAGAACTAATCTGAAGATACGGTCGCTAAGTTAAGGTTTTTTGGGGAAGTAAATGAGAACTAATCTGAAGATTATTGATGCTACTGTCCATCTCCAAAAGGGGGGGGAGGGGGGGTTGGGGGAGAGACGGGTAAAGGTAAATGTGGGAAGATACGGTCCTAAATTAGCGCCTAATATAAATGCACCCTTAATTATAACCCTAATTTAAATTATGGTATATAAATGGTAATTTGGTATGCTGAAATGTAATTAACACAAACCTTAAACATTGAGGGTAATAAGGTTTCATATATGGTATAGGAAGGTAAAAATCCCTTTTTATATTTTTTTAGTTTTTCTTAGCCCAAAATTAAGACCCAACAAGACATGGACCCAACCCAATTTTTTAATTTAAAGCCCAATACCCTTTAAACCCACTAAAAAGCCCTATTTCCCAAACCTAGAGGGGACACGACCAGCCGCTGCTCCACGACCTCACACCAAACTACCCTCATCTCCTAACTCACTCTCAACCAGATCAAACGCCGACCTCCAGCCCTTCCAACTAGGGCTGCTTATCGGGCGGATTGGGCGGTTATCTACTCTTAACGGTTTGGCTTATCGGTTATTGGCTTTTAAATGTATTAATCCGCTAGCCACCCGATAAGATATGGGGCGGATTGGTATCGGTCTAGCTCTTATCGGGCGGTTATCGGCTGGTTTATCGGCCTGATTTAATATATATTGCGTGCATTAATTGTTTGCTAACAGCCTAGCATACAAATTCAAAAATCAAAACTTTATGTCCAATCACCTCATTCTTGAACTTCCAGTGACATAGCTAAGGCATGAATACATGCTAAAGAACGCGTTCATGAAGTTGGATTGAGCCATTGCCCCTATTGAAATCATGCTCACTACTGCAACTAAAGCCATGTAAATTTTGATCCCTCTCGATCCCATCTTTTATCTTGTGACAGATATGTTTATAACCAATTTTCCCGCACAACAACTAAGGGAAAACAAAGAAAAAAATAGACTAGTTGCTTTGCTTCTTTGGTGGAGTGGGGGGCTGAAGATTTATACATTTTGCTAGGGAGTGATTATTTGTCTTCTGATTACAGAAGGGAATACATTGGTTAACTAATAAAGATTCATGAGCTAAGATTTTTAATAACGTGTCATTAATCCGTATAGCATAAGCATTGGATGATGATCTAACTCCTAGTAATAGAGTAGATACCTTTGTTGACTTTGATGGATTATTCAGAAATAAATTATGTGTGTGTGTGTGTGTGTGTATATATATATATATATATTCTTAACGGGTTAACGGATTATCCGTTAAGAAAATTGAATAATCCGCCCCCAAACCGATAAGCCGTTAATAAAAAAAATTCAATCCGTTCCCCGTCTGTTAAACAGTTAACCCGATACCAATAAGCCATTAAGCTTCGGTTTAGGTTCGGTTTTCGGTTTCGGATCGGTTTTGAACACCCCTACTTCCAACGACCCCTCCTCTCCAAAACACAGCAGAACCACCAGCCCGCCAGAAACCAGCCAACTATTCTTCTCGAAAAAAATCACGCGCACACACGCAAAACAGTTTAACCTGAGGTTGGTTTGAGGTCGTCACCGTCCGTTCGAGGTTCCGTCGCCGGTTCGGAATTCCGATCAGTAGTTCGTGTCATTTGTTCCTTTTGGTGCAGCTCCTTTGTATACATATCAAGTTCAGCATTAAAGGTCCAGACTCCTTTCTTTTACTTCCATACTGTTATTAGCTCACGTTATTACTCTTTTTCATTACTCTACTGGTTCTATGGACGATAGCATGATCAATCAAAACTCTGTTAAAATTATAAATTATGAATATCCCCTGGTTGCGTTGTTCTCTTTGTATTGTAGATCTAAATAGGTTGTATTGTAGATCTAAATAGGTTCATATTTTGCTGCTTGGTGCTATTTTCTATTAATGAGTGTACAATGTTGAATTTTAGTTATTAAGTTTGTGTAGTCAATGTGGAGTGGTATTAAAGTTGCATAGAACAGTAGCTTCACGTTAATCAAGTTGGCTCCTTTAGGTAATTTATCAATGATGAATGTAATGGTAGTGGATTTTCCCTTAATCTAATGTATTTAAATGGAGTTTTCTCTTCTAGAATTGTTTGTACGCTGGATATTCGAGAGAGTGTGAAGTTAGAATTTGGTTGTAGATCGCGGTTACAGGTACGGTTCTCGTGGCATGGTCACGATACGTAAATCCCATTCGGGTGTGTATTTCATGTGATCTGACCACAACTTCGAACATTAATAATAAATTAAACATGTTGTAGATCGTGGCTACGGTTCCCGTGACACGATTCGCAATGTGTACCAAAAAAATAAGTGTACGACAATCGTAACTTGTTCCAGAATAATTCCTTAAATAATTAAAGCGATCAAAGGTTAAAAAATGCACAATAGGTTTAAAATATGTAATTAATCAGATAATTAGGCCAATAATAATAGTTGAGCGACCGTGCTAAAACCACGGAATCCGGGAATGTCTAACCTTTTCCCAGATTAACAGAATTCCTTACTCAGATTTCTGTGTTCGCAGACCATAAATAAGAGTCAAACTTCCTCGATTCGTGATTTTAAACTGATGACTTGGGACACCATAAATTATCCCAAGTGGCGACTCTGAATTTGAATAAATAATCATGTTTCGATTATTGTCACTTTAATTGGAAAAACTCCCTTATACCTCTTTCGGGGTAGTAAAAGGAGGTGTGACACAAATTAAATTCAATCGCCGCCAATAGTGCAAACCCGTTCCATAAGTCTAAAATAAAACGTGATGTTAGTGTGGATGTGGACGTGGTAATGGACGAAATTATAATCGTCATCATTGTGGTAATGAGAAAAATAATGGTTCTCAAAATAATCCTTCACTTTGTGAAAGTAATGTTTGCCATTGATTTGGCATGAGATTTTATAAAGCACGTATGAATTATTATGTTCCATTCCTGAAGTGAATGTGAAAACAATGTAATAATCATTATGAATACATATTCATTCTTGGAAGAATGTGAACGTGCTAGTGGTAGTGAATATACCACACTCACCAAGGGGGTTTGAGATAAAATAAGAAAATCATTATTATGGCATTAATGGTCATTGGTCACGTACGTATTGTACTCAAAAATATTTTGGCAATGTTGTGAGCACCTAATTTTTCCCATGTTTAAAATACTCCTAAAATAGACCACCATAATTTTAACTGCTTTTATGGAATTTTAGGAGTCCGTTCTCTGATATATTTTGTTTTGTTTGGCATTAGGTTGCAATTTTCATAATTAGAAATCTCTTTAAATCATGAAAAAATCAAAAAAAAATTATTATCTTGCATTTATAGCATTTTTAGACTTTAATTGCATTATTAAATACATAAAAATAATAAAATAATGCATTGGTTGCTTTGTCTTGTTTTTACATCTTAGGTATAATTAATTGGCTAATTAGTAAAGTATTAGGTAAAATAGATAGATTGTTTGATTTTACAATATAGGTTTAATTAGGGTGATTAAATGAAAGTGTTTTAATTTAGAAATTAAAACACTTGAGAGAGTTTTACTTTTATTTCATATTATATTTTCGCCTTTTTGGGCCTCTTAGACTTAAACTCTTGTTCCTGATTTAAAACTCACAAGCCCAAATTACTGTTACTATTTCAAGTGAAATATAATGGATTGGCCCATGATATTCCAGAAACTTTCTCATCCCGCCAGTCTGAGTGTCGTCCCGGAAGCTGCGCCTCCTTCATCTTCCTCTCCGGCGACGAAAGTTGCTCTTCTTCATCGGCGGAATCTACTTGTACGTTCCCGTCGTCTTAATCTTTCTATCTTTCCTGTTTTTAATGCTTTTTGTGTAAAAAAACACAGCTCGCTACAAGCTTCTTCACTACAGCTCTTTTGCTATACAGTTTCGGTTTTTCCATCTTGGTCTTTTCCAATATACCTTTTCGCTGTAAGCAGGCTTTAATTATTGGTTGCAGTTCAATCAGTTAATCTGCTCTTCTTCTTTTTTGTCAATTTGCGTGTTCTCTATTATTTCTGAAATTAAGATTGAAACCCCAAGATGTCTCGATTTTCGGTTGAACTAAATAAAGCTTCTCGACATAGACCTATTGTAGAATAGCTTCAGTTAGGGTGGGCATAATTCGGTGAAAACCGAGAGCTCAATCGAACAGCAATTTTCGTGTTTTTTTGTTCTCGTGTTGATATATTATTTTTTTTAGTTAATCAGTTCGTTTTCAGTTTTTGGAATTAGAAATTTGGGTTAACCGAAAACTGAAATTAAGAATTTACACAATGAACCTTAGCTTTAGCGCATTCATAACCTAATTACATGTTAACCCAATTATCCTTAGCCCGTTGGTCATAGTCACTACTCAGCCTACAAAATCGAAACTACTAAAATCCATAATAACAAGGCCAGGCTGTCTTCCACCATTTGCTGCTGAGTTGCTGACGGTCTGGATTTCGATTTTGGGCTTTTCAAATTGTGTTGCCGAGTGGAGTCTTCAGGGAAACCATAGATATTTCCCTACCATGAAAAAGAAAAGAACCCTTGCTTTCTCTTTGATTTCTATCTATCACATTTATAAGTTACAAATCCTGAGCTGATATAATCCATTCACCCAATCACATTGCCACAGAAGAGGTAATAATTGCTGGTCTAACAATATACATGTTTCTGTAAAAGTCTCACCTGGCTCATTCTAAAAAATATCTTATCTGGCCTTAGTTTCTTTTGCTAGAAAGATCACAAGGCCCGTTTCTTTGTTTGGGTCATTTTCCTTGTGTCCATTTTGGAACTTCATTGTCCAGCTCATTTGGGTGCTCTTCGACTTTGTTTGTGTTTGCAAAATTAGCTAAAGCTTAATATCTGAGTCATTTTTCTCTCTCTGCATCAATGATGGTAGCCAATTTTTTGGTCAGAGAAGATGCCAACTCAAGAAGTTCAAACCCGAGAAACCGCACCGAAGAGCACCCAAATGAGCTGGACAATGAAGTTCCAAAATGGAATACATTGGAATTATACTTGTAGCTTTGTCGATGTAGCAGAAGTTTATCTGTTACTCAAACCATATTTTCCCCCTGCAGTGGTGTCATTTGTCAGTAAATGGGTGAAGAAGAATTGGAGATTGAAAAAACAAGTCCAGCATGTGCAGACGATCAGAGGGAAGATGAAGTACGAAAAGTTAAAAAGAAGAAAAAGTCACTTAAAGAAGCTGTGAAGGGTGAAAAGCGTGGAGTTTGTCACGTGCGTAGAGTACCGCCTCGTATGGACCACGTGAAACTTCGTCAGGTTCTTTCTCAGTTTGGAGAAATTCAGAGGATTTATCTTGTACCTGAAGGTTGGTTGAGTTCCTTGTTTATGCTCTAATATCTTCGTTATTGGCTAAATGCTTCATTATGCAGCAGTTTTCCCTTTCCCTCCGCTTAGTTGTCCATATTAATTTACCTTGCTTCCAGCTGCTGCTGCTCAAATAAATCGGAAACGGGCAGGTGGATTCCGAGGGCAAGCATTTTCAGAAGGGTATGCTTCATATTGAGGTTTCTTTGATTAAGATATCAGCTTATCTCTTATTTATCCTTCATTAAAATGATGAATACTGCATCTTGCATCTGCAAGATTATGATATTTGTTACCGAAAGTCGTTAAACTATCATCTATGTATGTAGGTGGGTTGAATTTATGAAAAAGAGTGTTGCCAAGAGGGTTGCAAATATGTTAAATGGTCAACAAATAGGTACGATAACGCGATATCTTGATTCTTTTCGTTTGGTCCATACGGTAACATCATGAATGTTGGAGGAAGTTTGGCATTATTTCTTTCCGAGTATTGACTCGTTACGTGTGCTTGTTTTTTACACATTTCTGAGGGGAAACACCAATTAATCATACGTTGGCCAAAAGATTGCCTTCTATTACAAGTAAACTAATGTGGATTTGCTGCTTTTTCCATTTGTGTCTTAAAAGTATCCTTGTTTTTGTTCTTCAGATCAGCTTTCAACTTCTGCTTTTCTTGTATTTTCAGTGGCCATAAAATGTTATTTTCTTTACTGCCAAATTTTCTGCTCCTATAGGTGGAAGGAAGAGATCAGCATTCTATTATGACATTTGGAATATCAAGTACTTGTCTAAAATCAAATGGGATGATATTACTGATGAAATTGGTATGATGTTGTTTTTAATTTATTTGGTAATTCTGCATCCTTTAATCTCTTGTCACAACTTAGCTGATGTGTTTCAAATTTTTTGCAGCGAAAAGGCATGCAGTTCACGAGCAGAAACTAGCTTTGGAGCTTTCTGCTGCTACAAGGGAGCGTGATTTCTACCTTACACAAGTTGATAAGTCCCGTGCTTTAAGTTCTATTGAAGAACGAATAAAGAAGGTCAGTGAGTCATTTTAATGAATTCATTTGGAGTGGGGTTTTGAACTCCCTTGATTGAATTTCGTATTTATCATCTCAGTTTGCCTTCCTCTTGAGTTTCATTCTTTATGTTTTCATTGTATGTTTAACTTTAAAGTTAAAATAGTTGCTAGAACTTGAGGCAATCACGCTGCGGGTCCATTTTTCTAAGCCTTTTTCGGTCCTTTTGTTCTGTAAGGTTTTCATCAACAGCTTATAGTGTAGATTGCTAAGATGTCAAAACAAAAGATAATAAGGATATGTATTAGTGGGCGAAAAAGAGAGGGAATGGAGAAGCAACTGTTACCATCTTCTCCACGCTCCGAATAGTATTCAGCAATTTACTTATAGGCTTGTGCTCTGTTCTAGCATAGGTATTCGACCACTCAGTTTTATGTACCTTATGCTATTTGTCTTTCATGGTTGAGTATTATGATCCTATACTTTCAACTGTGCATCTTTTCAGAGGCAAAAGGTCCAACAAGAATCTGGGGAAATTTCTAATCTCCCAAGTGAACAGTTTGAGCCAAAGGTGATACGGCAATTTCCACAGAAAAAACCTGTGGCAGATGAAGCTGGGAAAATCAAGCCAAGGCTGTCTAAGGACATTTTGGCCGGAGTAAGTCCCCTTCCCACCTTTCTACCCCGATCGCCTCTTGCTACCTTAACCCCCCAAAAAAACCCGTATCACCTCTTGCTGAAAACTTGCTTACTTTTTGATGGAATTTGCTCTTCACTTTTTACAGGTATTTGGTGGTCAATGATTTAGAGCGATTGCGTGCAAACAGATTCAGAAAGTTTCGCTCGTTAATTTTTAATCTTCCAGGTTTTCTAAGAATTTCACCTAGGCTGTTATTAGATGTTGGAAGGATAGTTAAACCTTGAACAAAATTTTTATCTTTATGTGCGGTTAATTTTAGATGTCATATTAAATATATTTGTTGTTTATATATGTAGAACCACTCGTCTAATTAAAATCAATTATTGTATTTCTCACGGATCATTTCGTGTATGAATCATTACAATTATACTTAGCTTTAACTGGTAACAACTGATTCGATGTGTTGTCTGAGAGAGAAGTATTTGGTTCATCTATGCTTTTCTTTTACCTGGTCAACAACTATTGTTCTTATTCATGGTATTACATAGCAGCTGTTCGGAATCTTTCAGTCTTGGTGCATGCTCATAATCAAGACGTAGTAGATTATTCACTTGGCTGAGAAATGAACAATGCTGTAAAAATTAGGTGGAAATCTATCCAAAAGTATTACACAGCCATCATTTTCTTCCTAATTCTATAGCAAAATGTTGCCCGTAGGACTTTGACTTTACCTAATTTGGTCCTCTTTTTTGGTAAGGAAGAACGCTAAAATTTCTTTTTCTACTTGTAAATCTCCTAATTTTCTCTGCATTATTGGTCCACTCATACAGCTTTATATTTTGACGTTATTCTAATTGTAAGTAATAGCAGAGTGATACATTTTTGTTACCCGGTAGTTTCCCACAAGTGGGGTCTGGGAAGGGTAAGATGTACGCAGCCTTACCCCTAAAAGGGCAGAGAGGCTGTTCTCGATAGACACTCGGCTAGTTGATCGTATATATACAATCAATTAATATTCTTGTTTTAAAGGACTCATAAGTTGGAATTACATGCAACTATAATTTATACATATAAATTGAATTTTTTGATGTTAGTAACTATAAAGTATCTTGTAACTACTACTTTTTTGTAGGCATATACCATGAAATCGGCAATGATCTATTAGCCATCCTAATGAAGACATGTTGATATTCCTCGTATTCAAATTGAAACTATTTGTTTTTAAATATCAAACTGTTAAGTTGAATATTTGATATATTCAGTTTGAGCCTGCCATTTCTCCTCTGTAATTTTGTATAACTCATAGCACACTTATTTTAATTTTAAGAAAGTTATAGTTATAGCATGAAATACACGTGTGACACACGTAAAGAAAACTAACATCTCATAATTAATGTGGACAATGTTATACATAAATCCTTTTCTTCTTCGGAAAATAAAATACTTATAAATAATCGAATAACGCTTAGAATTAATACTGATCAAACAATTGGAATAATTTGGAAAAGATTAATTTTTCATTATACCCCATGAATAATCAAAAATTAGTTTGGTACAACATTTTCTAAAAGTAAACTATCGAATAGAACATAACCCCTAATGTTAAGTCACTTTAAAGCAAATATATTTCATCCAAACAATGAATTAAAAAAGGGAAAAGATCCAAAATTACCCCTCTACTATGGTATATTGTTTACTTCTGTCACCCGTTATACTTTTCGTCCAAATTTATTCCTACCGTTAACAATTTGCATAATTGTCCCTAACCCTAACGTTCCTCCATTGTGACACTCGGGCCCTCAAATAAATTGCCATGTTTAAGGATTAAATTACTTCCAATGCTGACATGGCAATTTATTTGAGGGCCCGAGTGCCAAAGTGGAGAAACGTAAGGGTTAGGGGCAATTATGCAAATTTTGTTAACGGTAGGGATAAATTTGGACGAAAAGTATAACGGGTGGCAGAAGTAAATAATATACCATAGTAGAGAGATAATTTTGGACCTTTTCCCATTAAAAAATGAACTACTTTACTAACCTTATTAAAATTCTACAAGCCCACGTGGAAGCCACCCATTATGACCAAAAGTGTGCAAGTTCTAGAACATCTCAATTCTCAGCAGCCAGTCTTCTCTTCTACCTATAGATTTATCGCGTGTTTGGTCTTTTTTTTGGCCAAAACTGCTTTTGGCCAAAAATTGAGGTGTTTGGCCATGTTTTTAGAAGAAAAAAAATACTTTTGAGCAGAAACAAAAGTATTTTTCGAGAAGCAGAAAAATATAGCTTTCCAAAAACACTTTTCTGAGAAGCATTTTGAGAAAAATATACTAGAAGCAGTTTTCAAAAGCATGACCAAATACTAATTACTGCTCAAAAGTATTTTTTAAATTGAATACTCAAACAAAAATTAATTCTACCAAAAGTACTTTTTGAAAAGCACATTTAAAAAAACACTTCTTAAAATAAGTGAATTTTAGAAGTTTGGCCAAACCGTGATTAATTAAGATCAACCGAATAGAAGCTGCCTTGTAATCCCCTCCATAAAAGTCAAACTTTCTTTTCCTTGTTCAAATAATACAACCGACTTTTCCACATCAATTAAAAGTCTTTTTTCCATCTCCCTCTGTCGATTTATATATAAATATATATATATATATATATATATATATATAAACCCAAAATAATTAACTCCCTAAAGTTCATTACATCGCCTTCTCCACCCGACTAAAAAACAGAGGGAAGGAAATTTTACATTGAATTGCATTATATGAGCCATGTTTAGCTTTAAAAGTCAATATGGGCCCGTCAATATTCATCTCCTGATCCTCCTGTTCGTATTATCATGTCCAATGATTCCAAATGCGGCGGCGCAGCCATCAGATTCTTCTTCTGGACCGGACAATCGGTTCCGGTATCCAACTGTCAGCCCAGCAATGGCCGTTATTATAGTGGTTCTCATAGCTGCACTGTTTTTCATTGCATTTTTCTCAATTTACATCCGCAACCGCAGCGCCGCTAACGGTAACACCATCCGTCAAACACTTTCCATGCGCCGCCGTAGTGCTGCTGCTGCCACACGTGGACTCGATAATTTGGTCATAGAGACTTTCCCCACTTTTACCTACGCCGAAGTAAAGGATCATCATATCGGTAAAGGAGCTTTGGAATGTGCTGTGTGTTTGAACGAGTTTGAAGACGACGAAACGCTGCGTTTGATCCCAAAGTGTGATCACGTTTTCCACCCTGAATGTATCGATGCTTGGCTCAAGTCTCATGTTACTTGCCCGGTTTGCCGAGCTGACCTTAGTACTCCTCAACCTGATGAACCGCCGGTTCAAGCCGCTGAGGTACCAAACCCTGATCAAGTAGGGACAGAGAATTTGCAGCAAAATAACGAGGTTTCAATACAAGTAGAGAGTGATGAAAATTGTATGCTACAGCAAGAGGAGACCTCTACTGTAATCCCGAAAGCTAATCGAACTTTAAGTTTCAACGTGCCGAACCGGCCTCTGAGGTCTTTTTCTATCAAGAGGCCAAGGATGTTTAACAAGTTCAGGTCACATTCAACCGGCCACGCGTTAGTGGTACCGGGGGAGAATTTGGACCGGTACACTCTCAGATTACCGGAGAATGTTAGAAAAGAGGTGATGAGCCGGGCACTACTGAACCGGACAAAGAGTTGTGCAATCACAATACCAAGATATGGTAGCACTAGAACAGGGAACAGAACCGGAGAGGGAAGCAATATTGGTGCGAGGTCTTTCAGGAGAATTGACCGCTTCGACCAGGAAGCAAAGTCGGACCGGTGGGTTTTCAAGATTGCACCACCGTTCTTTACTAGAGGTCCTTCGATTAAGTCACCAAAAGTAAGGCTTGATATTGAAGAGGGCTCCACATCACGCAATGTGAAAATGGCAGTCAAAATGCCGTCGTTCAAATGCTTAGAGCCAAAAGGTGATGAACCCGGTTTGCTAACAGATGACTCGGCTCGGCCTCCGGTTTAAAGAATTCAAGCCTGTTTACTTTTCGAGTTAAAGAAATCCATATTAGATCCTTTAATCAGCACATGTTTAATGCTTGACTTCAATAGCGTGGCGGAAAGGACAATCTCTTTGTGCGCTGAGGAGAAAGAGTGATCAATGCTAGTTTGGCAGGGTGCTTTGAAACTTTTGGCATAGACTTTATTGCAAAGTATAATGCCAAAAGTTGAAATTCAAGAATATCACTTTCTAGAAATTCATTGAAATGTTGATTAATTTATTATTTTATAAGGATATAATGTTCAACTTGAAGGGGTTTTCAGGGTTAGAAGGGGCTCAAGTGTGTTTATCTAGTAGGTGGTTTTAGTAATTAAGACACCTTCATGATGTAATTATGTTTTGAGAACAGAAAATCTGAAAGGAAATAGACTTGTTGATACTTGTTTTATTTCCTTGGTCAAGATGATGGTGCTGATATTGATTTTCTCATTGTCTGCAAATGGTAAGGTCAGACTAGATAGGGTGATGCGACCCTTTACCCATGTGAAGCGACTCAGGTAGAAAAAAGCGTGCGCTTCCACTAAAAAGCGAGAAGCGACGATGCGAAACGATGCAAGCGAGGGCTTCTCTGTTTTAAACACCTACTAGCCTATTTAATTAAAAAAGGTGATCTTTTATTAAAATATGCAAGTACCAACAGCAACAGAGAGAAAGAGGCGACTAGGGTTTCAAGTTTCCTACACTTTTCATCTTCACAATGCATCAAGTTTGGTCCAGGTACCTCCTCTTTCTCCTCTCTCTCACTGTTTCAACGTTCAAATAGCAACAAAATGCTGACGAATTTTTTTCCGCTTCAGTTCTTTCTCGACGAAATGCTAACGAATTTTTTTTTCGCTTCAGTTCTTTCTCGATCTTCTCCTCTTCGTTGAAATGCTGCCCGGTTCTTCTTTCACTGTTTTTTCATTTGAAATGTTGCCCAATTTTTAACAGAATGGTATACTGCCCTTCATTGAAAAGAAGGGCTACGTTGTCCCTAGTTGATGAACAAGAAGTTGAAGATGACAAGCAATATAATATTGATAGTGAAATATAAGAATTTGATAATCTTGTAGAAGAATAGAATGCTCATTTTATGCTTCAATTGATGCTGCTCTTCGGATTTTACATTGAAGTATTGAACATTTGCTTACAATTACATGTTGTCTATGCAATATTTATTTTAATTTTTTTTAAAAATTCCGCTTTATTTCAAAAAAGCGAGCGCTTCGCTTATTGCTTCTTGCTTTAAGCGAAAAGGGGGTTATCGCTTTTCCTCGCTTCAGGCTCTTCACAACACTGGTCTCAAAATTACTCTTTTGATTTACAATAAAGAAATAAAAGAAGGAAGAATGCACCAAAAGATGCCAAGGGCATGACTTTATTACCTTTATTTTCTTATTTATTTTCACTACCATCTCTTTCTGCAGTGTTAGCCCCATCTATATCAAAGAACACCTAAAATGGGGAAAAGGACTCTGCACTAGCTGAAAACCCCATCAATATATGATTCAGCAGAAATTACAGACGTCAATTAATGAGAAGGGTAATTCAATGTGTCGGATTCATAAGAATCCTCACTCAAGCTAGTAATGGTGAGTATTCTGAGACTACCTTCAAGCAACTAATGATTGCATCACAGTTGCGAAGATTGAAACATGTGGAGATATTCTTGAAGGCAGTAAACTGAGATGGCTGCTTCTCCGTAATGCAAAATACACAGTGAAGGGACAACATGAAGTTTGATGTTTTTTTCACCCAAATTTCAAGATAAGACACCTTCTTTTCTTGTCAGATCTTCCAAATTTATATCCAAGTTCAAGCCCATATTTGGCAATGCACTGAGCATTGCAGGAATATCATGTTGTAGCGTTGCAGCCAACTCCTTGGAAAGGTTACACCAAAGACGACATTGAATAAGCATCACAACAAATACAGTATGTGCTCAAAATAAAATGCATAAACAGCTTACCCTTCTCTTCTCATCCTTTTGACGCTTTATCACCTCCAAAGGCCAGTCCGCGACTAGCTTTTGAAGTTCAATCATGAGATTTTGCCTTCTCGAATCGGGTATTGTCTGCAATGAACATCAGTACTTTCAAGTGTGGTCAAGGATAAATATGCATGAAGCCAAATATTGCAGGATATTAAGTGCAAGAACATGAGAATAATAGGTAAAAATAACAATCACGTCATTTGTTCAGTACTATTACACAGAAATCTTAATCACAATGACAAGCAGAAGGGATAAAGTAATTTCATTTATCTTGTTCAGTTAAGAAACAAAAGAGGATAAGCAAAGATGGAAATGCATGTCAACCTTCTTCCTTAGTTCTTCAAGCACCGTTAAATTGGATGGAATGCACCAAAATCTGGGACCTATAAACCTTCAACAAGGAGAACTAAAGCATTCAAACCCCTCTTTCTTCCCTTTCCCTCCCCTTCATTGAACCAAGCATTGTAAAAACAGCAGTCTATAATCACAGATCACAAGAACACCCCCCCCCAACGTTTGGAAGACCAGAACGGTAAAGATTGGATGAACTTTAAAGAATTTAATATCTGACAAAACATCTAGAATTGGATGATTTGTTCTCTGACATCAGTCGGTCAATTTATAAACATTCAAGAAATCAATATTTGAGTAGGAAAAAGAAAAATCAACATCTGATGCTGCCGATAATTGAGATGGTCACCGATATTAAAAAGCCTATTCCAAGGGGGATACATGATCAATTATCCCAAAAGGAAAGGAGAAAAATTGGGGGGAGGGGGGTATACATGATAATGAATTTTCAGTAATTTATCAAATTGCTGAAGTCAGTAGCGCACATTATCCAATAATCGATATGATGAACAATCTTTTGAGCACATCCATTGTAGTTGTCTAAGAGCAGACTATTCACAAAGCTCCAGTTGCAACCTAATATCATACCATTGCACAAGCTATGCCATGCTTGATGGCACCCTCTCCATAGAACAATAAAATAGAGACTTCAAAACAAGCAAAAACTGGCAGGCACCTGATTGAGTGATTGAATGATGGCAGCAGCATCTCCAGGTTTGTGATCAATTAGCAAAGCCTACAAACGAAATGAAAATTTGTTAATATAGACAAAAAAAGAAACAATTGTGAGACCACATCTGCCCCTCTTCAGTGCTTGGATATACATTTGCCGAAAGAAGATGTTAAATAGTAGGTGCACTTGCAACTTGTAAGCAACTAGAAAGATGAGGAGACATGAGTTTCATAATCATCATCAAGAAATAGAAACCAATCAGCTAGTCGATTTCACAACCAAAGTTAAAGGAATTTCCAAATCAGCTTTCATAACAATGATGCTGCATTTTACCATTATCCAGACTGCTCTAAGGCTGTCAAAAACTACTGGGGCTCTGTGGGAAAATACTTGCCTAGCACTATACATCAACAGTGTGTTGAACTTGATAGCTTGCCCTTATATCAATAAGACTCGTCACATAGCTATGGCTGCCTACTTCAGTTGAATATAATCTGATGGGAAAGAGGAGGTGTTACTATTCAGAGCAATCCAAATGCACATTCTTTCGACAGGTAAGTTACAGTGGTGTTAAATGCAAGAAAGCACCAAAAGATGTGTCAACAAGTCTACTATCGAGAAATCAAACATTTTTTTGGACACTTCTCCAATTGGATATATGATACAAATTGGGATCCCCTTTTAGGTCATTCATTTCTGTGCTGAAACAAGAAAGAGAGGGAGGTAAAGGAAATGTAAAATAAATCAAAACTAAGAAAACGAATTACCTTAGCACATGAAAGTCCACTTGCAAGAGTATGTTCCTTCATGGATTCTGATCGTATCTTCTCAATTTTCCACAAAGCATCCACGTCTCCTTCGGAGCAAAGATGCAGTAACAGCAGAGCGTCAAAGCCACAGCAGTAAGCTTTAGTGTTCATCAGGAAACTATAACCCCATAATTGAAGCCACTAAGATATTCACTTTATTACTTGGTGCACTTTTAAAAACTAACCACCAACCACCACCGTACTCGTGCATAAAATGAGAGGATTCTGATATAAAGTTCTAAATATTTTGAAGTTTTAAATAGGAGAAAAGGAAGAGCAAGTACCTATTTTTGAGGCAAACTCCATCCAAGAGTCCAAGGAAGTCTTTCGTAGCTTCACTCCTGCTTTGACAAACCTTTTACCATACTTACACATCAAGTCCCAGTTATCAGTTTGGGAGCAAATGCTGCAGCAAATCAATCCAACAAGTAAAAAGATCTTTTTAGAAAGAATGAAGTGTATAAGGAAGCAACAGATTATAGTTCAGCCAAGACATAATAATAATATAGATAATTGCTGTTACTTGCATTAAGATACATATTATTATGTTAACACTAGCATAGCTAAGTGGCATTTTGCGTACATGCCTCTTCAAAATAAGTACAGTATCTATCATCCTATCGACACAAACCTCTAGGATGTAAGCTAGGGCCCTAGTCTGAAGTATCCAAAAATTAGGAAGGACTACACAACTTGATCTCAAAAAGCACATTACTACTCAATTGGGTTCTCATAATTTTTATTGAACTAGAGCAGGTCATTGTCTTTATCGCGACATGATGTGACAATGGGTGCAATCCAGCTGGAAAAAAAATGCAACGTAAAGTGCAATTCTTGAAATTGGTCTTGACCTCAAAATAAAGGTATTAATGTGTATAAAACTATGAAAGTCACAGCACAGTTAAGTTTAACAAATAGACCATTGGAATGGAGAAAGCAAGCTTGAAAAGCCCACCAACTCAAATAGTTATCAATCTTCTTATCCAAAGTAGTAGAAAATCCCTATTCGTCCTAAAGGTTCCTACTCCCAGAAAGAGTGCTCAAAGCATGATTAATTATGTCTATTGTCAGTAAAAGAAATGAACATTGACGATTTCATGGATATTATGATCCTCATATTACACATTTATAGAAGTGTCATGCTGGTAAAGAACAATAGGATCGCCAGGGATTTAGTTAGACAACGGAAAATAAAAAATAAAAAGCAAAGAGGGAAGAGATATTGGGTAACAGTTTATACTGGATCAGTACCTGAAGACAATTTCTGCAGTTCCAGGCTGCAGGTTCAAATCATTCTTCTTCACCAGTTTCATAATTTCTACCAACAGTTTAACATCATTATGCTGTTTAGCAAACAACTGCAGTCATACAACACCAAAGTTTTACATGGCTTAGTCATCACACACATATCATACATCATGAAGCCAAAGTAGAACTCCAAATTACCAGTAAATGGTGAGCAGATCCAATATTAGGAGTCAATCCGTACACATTATGCTTCCACAACACTTTCTTACCTGTATACAAGGTGAAGCTCTAACATTCTCAACAAGCTCTTAGTAAGCACAAATACTTGAAGATTCAGTTTAACAATCC